CATGCTCAAAAACCCCACGAACGCAGGGTCCACGAGTGGACGTGTCACCAAAAACACCGCATGTTTGCACAGTCCTTATCGTTGAGCACCGCAAATTTTCGCAACTTTTCGGCCATGGGAAGTTTTGATAACATGCTGGCAACATTTTGTGGAAGTTGTACTCCGACTTGATGGACACGAAATTTCAGAACCTACAAATGCGAAATTTTGCAAAACAAGTGCGCCCAAACCCAAGGAAACAAATCGATGTACTCTGTATTCTCAGCCGGGCATCTATTGGACAACATTGACATGTGGCGTCAGCATGCTTGCAACGCAAAACTGCGAATGACCACATTTCAGCGTTCGCAAAAAAGGCAAGCTTGGGTAAAAACTGTTGGCACGGACCCTATGCATGGATGATTAGACGAAGCATGCAAGGGCCACAAGTCGCACGGAATCAAACTAAGCGTGGGGATTGTGAAACGTTTGCATCCAGAGCGCACCATCTTGGACTCTTGGAACCGCATGTTCCGGCTGGATGCTTGTATGTCTGGCTCCACTAAAGTTGAGATTTCGAGCTGCCATGAAGTGTTTCGGAGGAAGCAAGTCGCCAACTCCGTGGGAGCGGCATGCCAAATTTCTGCAAAGTAGCGAGCCCGAGGCTGGATCTTGGGGGGATTGCTGCGCAAGTCACACCCCACTAGGCTTCAATTGAGGGTTATTTTCGGGGCGAGGCGGTTGTTTTAAAATCTGCAACCCACATAGGCCTGCCGGCTCATTCTGATTTCTTGGCTAAGAACTCAAGACTTTGTGTTGAATTTTTCTTCCAGTAATTTGCGCAAAGTCAGCTTTTGTTGTCAATGAATCAGTTGAGGCAATAGCTTACAGGTACCAATATATGATGTAATACAAATGCCTTTTGTTGTTTGATTCCGGGGGATTTTTGCAGCAGGTTCCAAGGAATCCCGCGTAAACAAAACAGAACATCTGGAGTCATGCGGCTTGATATTTCCACTTTTCAGAAGCTTTTGGCATGTCGACAACCACTTCACTAAAGTGACCTCCAAACCCAATCCCCATAAGCTCAAGCTTGGACTGGAGCCCAGCGATCATCAAGCCGACGATGGGTATGGAAATGCTTCGTATGATCATGACAGCGCAGAACTGGAGTTTCAAATGGGACAACACAACCGAGTTTGGAAATTGCCTTCCAAGAGGGGCCTTCGATCACCTTGTGAATTTGCATTCGAATCCTAAACCTAAACTTGCAGCTGGGATTTTACGCGATGCAAGATTGCGAGTTTCACAGTTGTGACTTTAGCCTGGCATAAAGTTTAGTGTTGCTACTGGGAGGGTACACCCGGCCCAGTGCAAGCGTGGCCATCATATGTAGACAAGAAATTTCCTAATTTGAGGTTGTTTCTCCATTTTTCAATTTGTACTCAGAAGAGCACGTGATATTTCATGAAAGTAGGTCCAGAAACATTTCGTTCAGACGTTGCCCATGGACTCTGTTGCAGGAACTCATTCATTCACTCAAAAGGAGTACTATAAGAATCTGATGGGGTGTCCTCGAGCTTTTCTGTCTTCATGACACCGCGCACAGCACAGTCAGGGTACCGTACCAACTGAGAGTGCTTGCGCATGTTTGCAACCCCTTTTTACCCCAACCTACTATAGTAGTTTCCATTTTCTTTTCCATTATCCCAATATTAACGCATATTAGCCCATATTGGCCCATATTAGCTCATATTATCCCAATATGAATTGTGAACAGGTACCTGAGCTTCTCTTCCCCATGTACACAGTGCCTGTGGAAGCGTTCCTGGAGATGACCCAAGTGCAGCCGCACGAAGCGTCTGGAAGAATTTTAGCAAATACTGACATTTGCTTTTGTAGCCTGAATCAAATTTGCCATTGCAACTTCACTCAAACTTTGAACGTAGCCTCGCCCTTCTCATCCTGCTCCATTTCCTCTTCCTCCTCCTCCTACTGCGGCTCTTTCAGCTCCTGCTGCTGCCCCTCCTCTTCCACCTCTCCACGTTTCAATCCTATTCTTGCTGCTCCTGCTCCTGTGTCTGCTTCTCATGCAGCTTCATGCTTTGATTGCCAGCTGCTGCAGCCGTAGCAGTGCCACAACCACCAAGACCGCCAAGACCGGCATTCTATTTCTAGGTATCACCGCAACGCCAAGAAGAGGTGCTGAAGGCCAAGGGCCTAATTGTCGAGTACGAGCCCAGCCTGGGACAGGCAGCCTTCGCTTCTCACCAATGGGTTGGACATGGTCATCCCGACCCGGAGTTCGAGCAGATGCAAGTTCTGCAGGATGTTTTCAAGGATCTTCTTTCCAAGGATTGTTGGATCTCGGTGGAACCAATGACATCAATGCTTGCACCAACAGTCAAGCCATTCTCGTCCAAAGGGATGCGGAGTAGGCCTCTTTCCCTCTGGTATGATTATTTTTCTGTTCCGCAGAGCAGGGAGAAGGCTGGTGAACAGCGTCAGGCCATCGACTGCATCCCGGTTTACGTTGCAAAGTGCCATTTCTTCTTTGCCCTCTGCCCCATCATTGAGAGCCCTGACCAGTCAAAAGTCTTCAGCCCCCGCGCTTGGGGAGAGAGAGGGTGGTGCCGCTTAGAAAAGGTATGTCGCCAGCTGCGCTCCGGGGATGGGTCCTGGGTCATGATCAAGGGCAGGAAGCATCTCGAGGTGATGCCGTATGTCACGCCTTCCGGTGCTCATGTTAGCGTGGGTGAAGGTACCTTCACAGATCCCAAGGATCGGGAGCAACTGGGTCCAGTGCTGAAAGCCGCACTCACGGCCAAACTGGTTTCCTACATGCGAGCTGGAGATGTAGAGGCCTTCCGTGCATTGCTGAACCTGCAGGCTTTCTTCATGAGGGGTATGAATGTTCAACCTGCTGCAGACTTGGTCCCGGGCATGACGTTGGGCGCAGATGCGCTGCCGGAATGGCTTCTTGCCGACAGCTTCCTTTTCCAGAATGGTTTCCAGGATCTTCAGGAAGTTGATGGTATGGGATGGACACCTCTGTCCTATGCCGCTCTGGGAGGCAACTGGGTTGCTGTTAAGGAACTTAAATTAAGTTACTATATTGGGGAAACTCTATTATTTACTATATATACCCATTATGGTGACTTAAGTTAAGTTCCTCATCAGCAACCCAGGCAACCCTGCCACAGTCCAGGCCTTGTTGGACAAGCGCGCCGATCCTTGTACAAAAACCCGGGCTACCAACCCTTACATCAGTGTTCCAACGAATGCCTCAGCCGTCAGCATCGCAGCCTTTTTCCGGAACAATGAGGTTCTTCAGGTCGCCGGTTTCAGAATGCATTTTTCCAGCAGTATGATATATTCTCCGCGAAGCTCACAACTTCCTACCACTACCTTGAAGCATCATTTGACAGTTTCCCAAAATAAAGAGACCCCAA